CGCACCGTGCGAGAGGGAAAACAGGAGCGTGATAACTACACGGAGTCTGACATCTCCTACGGTGGGCAGCTGCGGAGGTGGATTAGCATCTCGACAACACTGACAGTTCCCTTTATATGAATTTAGTGCTGGTGAAAGGTGGGTAGTTTGACAGGCCTGGAGACAGGAACCTTCTACGTACCTACAGAACAGGTACAGAGAGTGGGAGCTCCCCTACAGTGCCCTGCCAGCCCTCACTTGATGGGAATGAGCAATGAAGTTAGCTTCCGCAGCTCGTCTGCTCCTTGGCATCTCCCACGGAGGCTGCAAAGGGGAGCGCCGGCACTTGCGGTGGCGGGTTTTGATGGTGCAAATGCATTTGGAAGGGTTTATTAAAATGCCCATCACTGGAGCATTCTAGTGCAGTATTAAAACACACACACAACTGGGGGAAGGAAGACAGCCAATTCCCTGCCCTAGCCCAGGTCTAATCAGAACGTCTGATTCTGAGCACCATGCTAGTTCTCCGCCTGGCTCCAGGCTAATAACGGGCTGTTTGCTTGTGGATGCCAGCGGGTTTTCCGCCATCCGGTTCTCTGAGGACCCTTGCCTTGCAACGTGACCGGAGGATGGCAAGCAGGGGACTCTCATCTTCTTGGGGAGGCTGTTACAGGGCTTAGGCAGCATAACAAGCAGGCTCTGCTGCCTGCTGCATTGAGTCCATATGCGGCTTCCAACATAGGTGCCGACTCCCCTCTTTCCTTCTGCTCCCAGCCCCGCCCCCACTCCACCCCTTCCATGAGGCCCTGCCCCTACCCCACCTCTTCCCACCCCTTCCCCGCCCCCATTCCAACCCTTTCCCAAAAGTCCCCGCCCCAACTCCGCCCCCTCCCTGTCAATATTCCAACTCCTTCCCCAAATCCCTGCCCCAGCCCCGCCTCCTCCCCTGAGCACGCCACGTTCCTGCTCCCACCCCCCCGCAAAGCATGCTAATGCTGCCAAATAGCTGTTTGGCGGTGGCCGGGTGGGAAATGCTGGGAGGTAGGCGGAGGAGTGGGGACGTAGCGCACTGTGGGGAGAGGAGGAGGAGGAGGAGGAGGTGGGGTGGGGGGTGAGGGGAGCTTGGCTGCCGGTGGGTGCAGAGCACCCACTCATTTTTCCCCGCGGAGCACCCATGAAGTCAGCACCTACGGCTTCCAATAAGCATGGCAGACCGGGTGATCACAGCTGCTGCCAAGGGTTCCTGTAAAAGAGGAGGTCTGAGATAACATGGATCCCACCGAGGGCTTTGCAGATCAGTGAATGGGACCAGGTAAGGCATGGAGCACCAGTAAAGGATGAGGTGCAGTGGTGTGGCTAGGAGATGGGACAGTGAATTGTGTAGCAGTCAGACCTGCAGATGAGGAACACACAAACAGCCACGGCCAGGTCTTCATTGGAGAGGGAAAAACAGTCTTGTTGCCAGAAGAAGGTGGAAGACAGTGCTTCTAGTGACTGTTGTTTGATTCTCCATGGTCAGCAACAAGCCCAGGATGACCAATAGGCTTCATGCAAGAGTGCATGTGCCCTCCAACAAGGGCAAAGAGATGGTGCTAGCCAGCCACTCAAAGACCTCGCCTGATTAGCTTTAAGCTTTAGTTCTTTCTGGATTCAAATCTCATGCCTTCATCCAGCCTCTAGTTTCCACCACGGACTGGACTGAGCACAGACAGAAAGACAGACATTGGATGGGAACATTGCACCACCGACCGAGGGAAAATTCTCCTTTGTTTCCTCATGTTTCTTCCCATTATCTCCGCGGTGATTCCAAAGACATAGGAACATTAGTGCCCACCAGTGAAGGGATCCAGCACTATACGATGGGAAGATCTCCAACATGGTATGACCGGGATCACAGAATTCAGAGATTAGAGAGAGAAGACTCCCACTACATCCACCTGTCTGTATTCCAGGCCAGTGTAGACTGATTCTCTCTGTTATACTCTCAATGTTTTGTCCATTCCAGTTTTAAACAATCAAGCAGGTTTTGACCCCTTCTCATGAGAGGCTATTCCACTGTCAGAGACCTCACTGTTAGGAATATCCTCCCTCTCACCCACACAAAAACAACAACTATGGACAATTTATTTATGTCCCTTTGGCCTACCCTCTCGAACAATTCCTCCGGCATCCCTTGAGGTGTGCAACCTGCAGCCACTTGAGACAATTATAATGTGCAGCCACCTAACTAGCTTACTTGACCAAAGCACAAAGAAAATCCATGTGTGATCCTGCGTTTACAGGATCGTTTAGACATAAATGGAAGTTATCGTGCAGGCTGTAAGTAACAAATCACATACATCTGAAGACTTCCCACCACATCAACTCTGATAAGCACCACAGATGCTTCAGTAATTGTACACTGTCCTGCAAAAACTGGTCTAAGGAGAGCAATTGCAGGGAAGATCTCTCATTGGACTTAGTGACTATCCCACTGCACCTACAATGACACACAGCCACGTGGAATCAATATTAGAACATCATTGTAACAATAAACTCTATCTGACGCCGCATCCTTCTCTATTAGAATTATGAGCCTGTCCAATTATGGATCTTTGTTGTAGCTGTAATTATGATTTTTATGCTGTAACTTCCCACTAAACTAGTGCTTTCTTCACAGAAGGGAGCTCAGACGATGATGGAAAATTTCTTCCAAGATGCCATTAAAGGTAAAGTTTAACCAAGCAACAGGGAAAGGCCATGGAGCTTTTATTCAGGGAGCTTATTTATTTAAAAACCAAAACAAACAAAAAAAACCCCCTCTGGTTAACGGAGAAATAGCCAAGGTCATTAGCAAAACCGGATCTATGGTTCCACTGAAGCGACAGATGGGTTATTCCCATTAGATCATCTAGCTCAGTGTTTCTCAACCTTTTCAGGTTGGCGACCCCTTATTTGAGTTCAAAAAATTTCACAGTCCTCCCTTTAGTATAACAATAAGAGTAAAAAATGTAAAGTATAACTGATAACCAGACACAGAACACTTACTTTGAAGAGGAAGGGAGAGGCGGAGCAAGAATTTATTTGCTTTAGATTGTAATAAAAGCTCCAATGACTCGTGACCCCCCCGATTGCCTTTTGTGTTTCCCTACCCTCACCCTCAGAGGTAACAACCCACTGGTTGAGAAACAAACACCGAATCCCATGGGTGGGGTTTTTAGAAGTGCCTAAATCACTTAGTACCCTAAGTCCCATTTTTAAAAGCGATTCCTTGAAACCCAGTGAGACGTGGGGTCTAAGTCACTTGGATGCTTTTGAAAAATTTACCTGGTCTTCCAACCATTGCAGGATTGTTCTCTACACGACTGTTTGAAGTGGGGGAACTCCTTTCACAGCAAAAACTGAGGCACCCAAATTCACTAGCCCCTTTTCCAAAATTGAGGCCTTTATCTTTAACGTGACTAAGGCAATGTTGCCATGGGGAGCCTTTACTAACTTTCCGCGCTTGAAAGCGCAAGTATAATTCCAGTGAGAATTTTTGTAACATTGGCTTTCCTTTTCTTCTAAAAGAATGAAGATACAAGGACACACCTGAACGCAATCCTACTCCACAGAAATAAATGCGATGTGTGTGTTTGTTCTAATGTGAAATCACTGAGCCACCCGTAGGTGTAGAGGTAATTTCACATTGAAATAAACATGTTATGCGCATTTATCTGAATGCCTAATCCCGGAAATAAGTGGAGCTGTATTTATTTTGGTGGGCTCTGGCATCTATCTGGAATGCTGCACTCTGACTCTGCCTTGGCTTAACCAGGAAAACAAATTCGGGACTCAGAGCCACCGGTGCAATCTTAAAATCACTTTCCAACTTGGTTATTTCTTAATGGTGGTTTTCAGACTTAGCAACAAAAGTCACATATTTCCCCTATTGAGGACTAAACACACACTAGACCAGCTGCTCAGAAACAAAGTGATCCCTGGCGTTATTTGAATGGGGAAAAATGTAGGAAGTAATTTTAAACCACAGAAGAGACTTTTTCTCTCTCTTAACTCACAACATGATTTACGAGATTAAGTCCCTCCCTCAACCTCAATTTTGTGTTTGTTTTTTTAATTGCTTTTGTGCTGAGAACAAGCATGGAAAATTCAAGTCCAATAGGAAATTTGCTGAGAAACTTTAAGTGACAGAAATTGAGCCTCAGGAGACGCCACCACATTGGTGGCTGGACCAATAGCACGGTTGCACCAACACAAATCCCTAGTGTACACACTTTGAGCACCACTACCATTGGTAGTAAGCTTCCTCAGTACAAGCCGTGGCTTATCACAATTGTGTGTGTTGACGTCGGAGGTTTGAACTGGTGCAGTGGCTGGCTGCCAATGGTTGAAATGCCTAGCGTCTATAAGGCCTTAAAACAGGATGTCCAGGATACTGTTAGCAAGGCTGTAACGAAAACCCACTGTAGTTACAATTTAATGCACTGGAAATGGTACTTAGCTGAAGACTCGTGAAGGGTTGTGCTCCCCCTCCCCACACCCCCCTTTCCTTAATTCAGATCGACAGCTGAGTGTTTCAGTGATGGATATTTTTCCAATTAGCTGTATACTGTTCAAAACCGGGGACAAGACCAGCTCCATCCATCCAACTCCACTTCCAGCATGCTGGGGGTCTGGTGCATCAAGGGGAAAGAAGGGAAGGAAATACTGGGGTCATTGATCAGTGCTTCCTTAATCTTTAATGTGGCTGATATTGGAAACCAGGGAATAGCCATGAACAAGCAACTAAGCCAATTAATATAATCACTAGGAAACTGCTAATGTCTCCCACGTGCTACTAGCTGGCAGGGATAGTCCCAGGCTGGGAAATCTTTATGAACAGGCTGATGTTAGCTATCGGGCATGAAGATTTGTACTTATGGACCGAGAGTGAAATGATTTCAGACCTCTTAAGTGAGGGGCGCAGCGAAAGGAGGGAAACTGGAGTGTTTGTTTCTTTTGCCTCTTACAGCTGCTGTGTCACTGAAGGTTCTTTCATTTACCTTTGCTCCGTCTCCGGCTCCTATACTGCTCGGTATAGAAGGTCAGCTGGGTTTCGTCATCTGCCTCTGAGCCAGAGTTTCCCTTGGCACGTCCAAACCCAATTCCACCTGCAAGGAAGTGAGGAGAAAAATCAGTACTGCCGTCTGAGGTGCTCAGCGGCAAACCTTAGCTGTGAGCTCCCCAGTCAAGCTGAGGAAATCATTATCCAGCTTCCCCTTCGGCCATCTCTTTAAACCCCCGCTTCTCCAGATAAAGACACGGGATCGTTAAAGTCCGGGTGTTATTATTTGTATTGCAGTAGCACTTAGGGGCACAGTCATAGATCAGGACCCCCGTGTGCTAGGTACTATATGAACACAGAACAAAAAATGGTCCCTCCCTTAACGAGCTTACTATCTACATGGCACTGAGGACCTTGAGTTTAAGCTGCTCGCCTAAGGACCCATGCACAGTGAACCACACAGAGTGTCACATATCTGCTTCAGAGGCCAGCAGGCAGAGATGAGAGGTAATGTGGTCCAGAGTACAGGACATAAAACAGAGTCAGGAGACCTGGGTTCTGTTCCCTGCTCTGCCACTGATTGGCTGTGTGACCTTGGTCAAGTTGCTTCCTCTCCCTTTGTTGGGCGGGTCTAGACCAGTGGTTCTCAAACTTTTGTACTGGTGGCCCCTTTCACACAGCAAGTATCTGAGTACAACACCCCCCCCCCCCCAAATTAAAAACTTTTTTTTAATATATTTAACACCATTATAAATGCTGGAGGTGAAGTGGGGTTTGGGGTGGAGGCTGACAGCTCGCGAGCCCCCATGTAATAACCTCACAACCCCCTGAGGGGTCCCGACCCCCAGTTTGAGAACCCCTGGTCTAGACCATAAGCTGTCTGCTGTGGCCCTAGAGAGCTGTGGTCTCACATGAAGCCTCTAGGCTCTACTGGAATACAAACAGCAGGGAAGAAAAATGGAGCTGTGACTTGACCCCCCCCCCTTTGCTTTGATGTCCCTGAGGAACAAAAACAAACTGTGGAAGGATGAGCCTGCCCATGCCCAAAGGTTAACATGTTCACTGGTCTGATCCATGCCCCCGGCTAGGCGCACTCAGATGCAATCAGACTCATTTGACCAGGCAGAGCCCACCCCTTCCTCCCCCACACAGTGGTTTTAAACATTTAGGAGCAGCAAAAGTTAGAAAAAATCAAGTTAGGAATAGACCTGGCACGAGTCTGCCAAGCCTCATGGAAAATTAAAAGAAAAGAGGCCTCTGGGGGTTGATGGTGGCCCTCTGAACTGCCATTAAAATATTTTACTGTTTTAAAACCCCTTTATTCTATGCAGAAGTACAATTTCCACACTTCTTGGCAAGGGTCCAGCAAATGAAATTGCACCTTCTGCCCTGTAAAATTCTTAATCACCAGATGGGGGGGGGGGAGGTGGAGAGAGCTGGGGAAATGCACTGAACTCACAGCCCTGCAGACCGGTGTGTCTATCAGCAGACCACGTTGGCACACGCAGGGGCAGAGCCAGCTTCACCCCCATAGTCTCACCAACGTGCCTCTGCCCTTGGTCACTTGGCCCTTTCAGACCTTAGCCTCTGCTGAGACTGCCAATAACGGGTGCGGGCGGTTGAGGGCAAAATATGGTGATGGGAACACTCCCCAACTAGGAACTGATTCAACTCATCTCTGATAGGTAGGCTACCCCTACCTATCAGAGGGGTAGCCGTGTTTGTCACTTTTTACAGATCCAGACTAAGAGTCCTGTGGCACCTTATAGACTAACAGACGTATTGGAGCATAAGCTTTCGTGGGTGAATACTCACTTCGAATTCACCCACGAAAGCTTATACTCCAATACGTCTGTTAGTCTATAAGGTGCCACAGGACTCTTTGTCATCTCACATTGGAACCCAACAGCTTCAGCTAGGGACGAGTCCTAGTCTCCACCAGCCTAGATTGCATTCAGACCACTGATGCAATGCAAAAGACCAGAAATCCTATCCAATCAATCCATTAAGCCATCTAGTCCCTCCAGCAGAGGGTGCTGTGTCAAGTCCGCCCAGAATCCGGTGCCGAGAACGGGCCCCGCTCCTGAAAGGGGAGATGACACAACCAGCCCTCCACTGGCAACACTGCTGGCCGTTTGGAAGTGGACCCCTGGACAATGCAGAAGTGGCACCTTGGGGCTTCCTGCACCTCGAAGAGTTTGCTGTATCAATAAGGGAATATGACCTCTTATTCAGTCCTTCCCTGGTGCGGCAGGAATGGGTTTGAACACAGGTGTCCAGACAAACACAACCACCCATCTATCCAGCTCATCTCATCCTCAAAGCGCATGGCATGAGATGCCAGTGTCACCACATGGCTGCGGATTAGGGACCCTCCAGGGACCCAGCTTGCTGAGGGCACCTCCAAACTCCTGAAGGCAGCCCGCAGGCAGGAAAGGGCGGAGGGTATGCGAGTGGAGGGTGGCAAGCTCTCCAAAGCAGGTGGCCTGAAACCTGCGTGTCGGCACTGGTCTCGAAAGCTCCAAGACAACCCAGAGGGCACCAGGAGCGATTAAGGGCTCTGCAATGATTCTCGCCACAGTGAACGGTGCCTGCTGCTTGGTGTTTTACTACCGAGTGTGTGATTTAGGGCACTAAAGTGCAGCCGTTAATTACCTGCCGCTACATGAATATTTCCACTAAGGTCCTAAAAGATAGCAAACGATCGGAACGTGTTAACACAACAGTAAAGGATTATCAGCCTGCGGAAATGGCTATATAAACTGCTCGAGGCTTCCTGCCACCTGAACTCATGGCAACAAGGAGGAGGGCTTTAAACAATACTCTGCTACCGAGACGGTAGATCTTCAGAGCGGGCGAGCCGTATCGCCTTCCTGCCACATCCTAATCACCCTTAGCACTGAGCACCTGATTTCCACACAGAGGATCAATGCCAGACTACAAGGGCATGCCGCCAGGGACTGCCACCGCAAACTACCAGGCTAGTCAATAGCCAGGAGAAGAGCCAGCATTTACCCTGGGGAAAGAGCAGGGCATTTTGAGATGAAAGCTACTTGAGAGAGCGTGTGTGAAAAGTCTGCAAGGAAACCTGAATGCGTGTGGAGCTCATGAGGGTACAGGTCCCTTCCCAAGCTTGAAACTTAGCCCCAGGCCATCAGAGGGTTTGCCCAGGCTCACAGAGAGCGCCTGGGCCGATGCAGGGGTCTGAGTGAGGGTTCGGCCAGCTTCCCTGCTCCTTGTGGAGCTCAAAACCAGGGGAGATTCTGCAGCTTCAAATCAGAGTCAGATTCAAAACTCGGGGCAGCGAGAACTCATGCAGATGGGAATGGAAGTATGCGTGAACCCTAGTTATCTGACCAACAGTCTCTCCGGCTACATCTACACCACAGCACTTACGGCCGTGCAGCTGAGCTGCTGCAGTGCTTGCGGTGGGGACGCGCTATGCCGACAGGAGAGAGCTCTCTCGTCGATTTAATAACTCTTGCCTCCGCCAGAGGCGGTAGCTACGTTGGCGGGAGAACCTCTCTCACCAACGTAGCGCTGTCTACACCAAAGCTTAGGTCAGTATATTTTACGTCGCTCAGGGCTGTGGATTATTCACACCCGTGAGCGACTTAAGTTATACTGAAGTAACCTGTAGTGTACACAAAGTCTCCCACCTCTATTGCTTGGGCCATTCTCTGTGTTGGCAAGATATTTTCAGGAGTCAATGCCATAGCAAAGCCCAAGCAATCCAAGGTTTTAGGGCTTACAGGAAAGGAATACAAGTCTGGTCGTGTTCCTTTTGCAACCACATCCCGGAAGGGGTTAACATGCTCTCCACGCTCTTCGCTGGGAAATGGACTGACCAGCAAGCTTCACAGCCAGCCGCCATCTCCGCCCCCTTCGGCAGCTTTTCATATGTTTGCGGGTTGCGTCTCTGTGATGGATGGTGCTGACATGTTAAATTATCCGGGCTGGGTGTCATCGGCGAGCCGGTGACAGCAATATTGCATTTTCTGATTACCTAAAACTGTGCAGGATGTATAAATATGGGACTTGGGAGACCCACGACAGGGTCTCCAGGCTGGAAAGGAAATGCCTCCCCCAACCCACCCAGAAAGGGCAAATGTTAGCCAGCTGGTAACAGCTAGGCAAGAGAGAGAGAGAGATGTCCCCGTGAGTCCTTTTTGATCTGCCTAAAACCTCAAGGATGGAGTGGAAATTTACCCTCCCGGTAACTCAGCGGTTCTAGGTTTCTCATCACAACACACTCCCAGATATAAGTCTGGGTGAAGTCAGTTGAAGTCTTCTGTGGGAAAAAGAAGTCTTAGCACAACTGAGACTCTAGCTACGCCTAATTCCCACTCCAAGCCACCTGGGGGGGGAGGTTTGGGTTTGGTTTTGTTTTTAAATTGGCCCCAAAGTCTTGCTCTGAGTAGCTCAGGATTTGGGATCTCTTCCCTGTGTTGACCAACACGGCATTAACAACACTGCATACTATATTGTCCCTGTTTTTCTTGCATTCCCCCCATCTTGCCAGACCTCTCTTCTTTCCCCCCCGCATCATCATTCTTTTTTGACAGGGAAAGGGGGCTGCCCCAGGCGGATGAGACAGATTCTTGCATATGAGCTGGATTTATCTGGAGCACAAGCAGCTGACAAAGTGAGAACAGGGAGCACCTGATTAAAGACAAGACAGTCGCCCCTTGTCAGCGATTCCTTTATTTCTCCCCTAAATGGGGGGGGGGGGAACTGCAGAGTAACAGAAATGAGATTCTAATCACTGCAACCTATTACAAAGCAGAGTAAATCACTTGGAAAAAAGCGTCCGATATGGCAGCAGCAACTCTGCAAAATTCTCCGTTGAGAAGGTTCCGCCGGCGCTCAGCAGCACATGTGATGACGCAGGGAGCTACTGGGAATGGAGTCATCTTGGCTCACGGCTCCAAACACAAAGTGTCACAAGAAAATTCCCATTCATGACGTGAGTGCAACCCTGGTGAGTGGAATATCAGGGACCCAGAATTCCCTCAGAGCTCAGCCTCCGCTGTTGGTCTCGGCACAGAGCTCCACCGTCTCTGTCCTCACCTTGCAGCCCATCAAAGCCTCACACTCCCACTTCCA